AGAATGGAAATACGGAAAACAAATTCGCATGTCGTTTCAGAAAAAGCCCGGATTTTGTATCAAAATGCCTATATTGGAACATTGCTATATGTAAATCTAATATATATCCTAAATGTTCGTTTTCGAGACATGAAAAACGCAGTTTGAATTTCGTCAATCCGCCCAGTAGAACGGGAGATACAGAAACTGCGCCATTTATTTATTTATTTATTTATTTTTCTGCAGTGTACATCTGAGTTCTTTGCTTCTAAAAAAACAGGGATTACAGCTCGATCATTGTGAATAAAGCATCATCTCTGCTTAGATAGTTTTGTATAAAGACTTTTGTGTTGGGCTGAAAGCCTTCATGCAGAAAAATATTGTTAGCCAGAAAAGTTATTAATTTCGTTTTGGCATTTCGCGTTGAAAACTTTAAATGTTGGTACACTTTTCAAACTGTTGCCACCAAATGTTACAGCCCTGCATTATATTTAAAGAAATTAAATAATGAAGAACCTTCATAAATGTATGCATGTTTCTCGCATTGGGATAAAACGACGGTACCTAGAGCCATCCAATTTTGAATAACGTACCTTTGCATCCGAATATGGGCATCTGGAAGCCCAAATTTGGAATTTGGTTTATTATCAATTTCATATTTTGTAACACTTTAACGAATTTATGACTAACAAACTGAACGATTTCAAAGCGAGCGATGGCAACACTGTACGGAAAAAAAAATTATCTCCAGCGCGCGAGACTGTGTATCGGAAATTCTAAAGACATGCTCATTTAAAAATATTTTGCAATATTGCACTTGAACTGAATTTTACGGTTTCCCGAATTCCCGGAAGATACGAACAACATAATTCAATCATTTTTAAAGCAACAAATGTGCAATTTACCAATATATAAGAATAAAAAAACTAAGCTCACTAAGCCGAGTAAGAGGGTGGGTGTATATATATATATATATATAATACCTTAATTACAACCAGAAAGGGAGGTGCACAACCACATGTTATAACAGTCCTAGTCCTATACAGAAAATTTCAACGTTCTGAAGCGACTCGTTTTTGAGTCATACGAGATACATGCAAACCATACACACATACTTATGTACAAGACTCCACGAAAAACATCTCTTCTGAATCCATTTTAAATCAATTTTATAATTCGTTTTGGGGAAATAGAGTCCCTTATTCTGTCTTTACGTACAGATGTCACGCTGAAACATCGTTAAATTGCATTCGATAGTGGTTAAAACGGATATTTTCGTTGAAATATAATATCGAAATTTTTCGCGATTATAATCGCGAAAAATTTCGATATTATATTAAGTATCTTTTTACTTCGTACAAGGAAGTAAAACGGAAATTCAGTTATTTTACATAGCCCAGTCGAAACAAGGTATACTGAAACTTGGGTTATTTTGTGCAAGCAGAATCATTTGTAAATAATAAAAAAAAAGTTCTCGTCTTAGTAAATTGAATACTTAAAACAACCGTTTAGTGTGGAAACCAACACATATCATATATTCATGTGGCCAATATTTTTTACAAACAAACAACTCAATTACAAAACCGTAAAAACAAAAATAGTCATGTTTTTCCCCTAAAATGTTCAGCATCAAAAATGACACAGAAAGGAAAGAAAATGAGAAATTTCCTGCTATTTTACGTCGTTCATTGTGCATTGTTCACATACGAAGAAGAACATAAAACATTTATTTCCGAAAGCGAATTTTGTTATTGTATCATTAGGTTTTAAATTGAGGCTATCATCCAAAATATATACAAAAAATATATTCAAAGAGAACCAAAATGCAAACTAATTTCGTTTGTGCTGATACTGTGAAGTACACTGTCTTTTGTAGCAGCATTACATATGCCCCGTGTAATTTACATGTGCAGGGCGCAAAAAAAAAAAAAAAAAAAAAAAAAAAAAAAAGGGGGGGGACCGCTCTATTCTTCCCGTTCTACTGGGTCGATTTATTTTCCCATATTTCGATTCTACGACTCAAATTATACCTAAATATTAAATTTTGTAATTTTTGGTGAAAAATTTAAAAATTTATCTTGGCATATTTTTTGAGTTGCGCCAAGAATAATTGACGGAATTCTTAATTTATAGAAACCTACTTACTTTCCTTTTTTTCATCGATGCACGAGGGAAAGAAGGTCCATCGTTCAGTCTTTCAAATAATTTTAACAGAATGCGTAAACCACATTTTCGTTATTATCGCTTATATTAAAAAGACCAAATTTCAAAAGGCGCCAAAATTAAATTCACATACATATCTTACGAAATTTTGAATAAAAAAACTATTTTTTTGCCGAAATATTTAGAAATACATCTACTTTAAGATGGCGTTAAAAATTTTATAGGTTATGATAAAGTATTTTTTTGAAAATTCATAAAAAATATTTAAAAATAAATGATAAAAAATGTGCGAATTATATTTGGATTAAACCTAAATTTCGAGTTCTGGAAGAAGGAATCAAGTAAGTTTAATACAAAAAGAGATATTAATAAATATATATCAAATTCAATTAATTGAGGAGCTAAAATTTTGAAAGCTAATTTTTTAAGACCTACTGGTGCAATTTCTACAAAACCTGGCTGCTTGGCATAATTTGAGTCATAGTACCAAAATATGACCCCCCCCCCAAAAAAAAATTGGCATGTCATTTTAGAAAACATCCGATTTTGTGTCAAAATACCTATATTAGAACAATGATATTTATAAATCTAATACATATCCTAAGTTGCGCTTTTGAGACATGAAAAACGCAATTTCAATTTCATCAATCGACCCATATAGAACTGTTCCATTTATTTTTTGCTCAGCGTATATCCATATCACATGTATAAAAAAATTAGGTGAGGTAATATACGGGCTTAATTTGATGATTGCTGCATAACCCTAATAAAGTAGGTCTTACATAAGGTTTCAGCCAATAATAATGACAGAATTTCAAAAGCAAAACTTTTAGCAACCAATAAGAAACGAAGATGAGCTTTATATTGAACCAGGGATTTAAACTGGAATCTAGTACGTATTTCTTTCTCTTTTCATGCTTGTTTCAAGCATACTGTAAAAATGCGAAAATCTGTTAATGAATGATACCTTTTGCTCCAATTTTTTTTTTCCAATGGCAGATTTTGAACAATCACAAATGTAACCCAGTCCATTAATCTATACAAGGCCGGATGTTGTGGTCTCTTTATTATGGAGGCACCTACTAGGTGGGCCAGCATCGCTTTTCCTATGAAGGGACGGACAGTTACAACCATGCCTTCTCCGGAATTCGAACGCAGGCCCTTCGGCATCGCAGTCAGCTTCCCTGACCACTTTACCGACTGAGCGGCCCTTTTGCTCCAATTTAACTGAGTTTAAATCAGAAAACTGCTTTATCAACAAATAATAAAAAAAAAAAAAAGCATTCAACCAGATATGCCTGCTTCAACATGCAATACATCATCAACATTTAAATTATTGCATATTATAGAGTACTTAGGTTATTTTTAAAGCAGAAGAAATAAAAAGTGAGCAATGCCCTTGTCGGGACTCGAACCTGGACCTCTCGAATATGCGCCGAGTGTGTTACCGTTACACCGCGAAGGCATACAGAAAGGAGGGAGAAAATACCTTATATACTCCCCCTTTTAAAGGGCGACTGGGGATTAAGGAACCCAATCGCCAAATCCTGGTGGTGAAAAATCATTATCCACCACCTTTTAGTTCAGGTGCTACTGAAGAGACAATAGGTTATTTTGTAGCAGAAGTACGTGAAAAATGAGCAATGCCCACGCCGAGACTCGAACCTGGACCTCTCTTATACGCGCCGAGTGTGCTATCATTACACCAAGAAGGCATGCTTAAAGAAGGAAGAAACTACGCGTTAGGTGAAAGAATGGATATTAACAAAAGACCTTAGGAATAGCGAGATGGACTTTATAAAACTGGTTTACATTGGAAATGAAGCAAAAAACATAGCAAAAGAGGTCATGGAAAAATAAAAAACCTGATCGCAATTGGAACAGACCAATAACAAGAAACACCCATTATGGCTGCTGCTTCATGTTGTGTTGTCCTTTATATTTTCCTTCGTGGCCGGTCTAGAAAAGCCATAGGGCATGCTTGGGCTTGCCAGAAGGTTGGACTGCGCCATACTAACCTACCTACCTTATAAACTTGTAAGAATTATGTTAATTTTATTAACAGTTAAATTTTAATTTTAAGTTCCTTTACCGTCAAATTATTAACTTCAACTTACTACTTACGGCCAGAACGTAATTTTGGAATCTTTCTGAATACTTAATGAGGAGGAGCGGTATTTATACCACGAAGTTACTTACAGAGTCAGAGAGAATCAGAGTTTCTGATTTACGCGCGTCTGCCTTTTGGCCACTCTCTCTTAAAGCTGTTATTACGCTCGGCCGTCCTCAGGCCCTTGTTAAGCTACGTAGTCAAATAAAGTTAAGGGGCCAACTCGAGTAGAATCTTGATAGCTTCGGCTATATTTATTTAGTTTTAGTTTAATTCTTAGTCTCTTAAGTTCAAGCCCGAGTGTCGGCTTTGATGGTACACTCCAAGGCGGAGTTTGTAATCTATTGAAATAATAAAAGGTTAGTTACACTTCCATCTTGTTGTTTCTTGTCACACGAACTTAAGCGATTATTCGCTAACTAGATCTTAATATTCGCCACGTTCTACATTAACTGAGAATTACACCAGTGAAAATCTTACAAACTAAAAGAACGATTCTGGGTATACTTTTCTTTGGGACACTTTCTACGTTTAGCACAGTTTCGAACCATTAAATTACTTTGCAAAAGCGACCATACAGTAATATTGTTAAAAATAGCAATTTTTCTCCGAAAATCAGTAGTCAACCACATATACTTTACCTCTAAAATCTCCAGAGTTGCATAAAGTTATCTGAAGGATTTACACACAAACAATTGAGTTCAAACAGCACGCGTTTTCTGCGAATATTGATGCAAAAAGTTCTCACCTTGTTGTGGTATTGCATGAGCTGTATGATAACCCGTATGTCGTCCGAGAAGTTCTTAATGGATATTACCCGCATGATGTTGGCTGCGTCTTCCGCATCTGGATCCTGACAGTATTTGTTCGCTAGCACCAAGCAGGCGTCCGCTTGTTGTACCTGTTGCCAATAAGGAAAAAGAGAATTAAGAAATTAAGTTATTGCACCGTGCAAGACAATTCCTTTATACTTTATAGTATTACTCTTAACGTCTGTTTTGCATCTTCTACCGTGGATTAGTTAAACTGTGAAGTTAACTGTTATTTTAAAGCCAGAAGTATTGGCTTCTGAAAGCACGAGTTGGTGCCATCTGCTAAACTTTATTTGGATTAATAAAAGGATCCTATACACTCTTTCCCTGTCTCTATGGTACTCACAAGACATAAAGATAATTCGCCACTTGCCGTTTTAGAGTTTTGATCTAGTGTACGCTCCTTAAGAACAAGCTCTATAACATGATACGATTAGATAAGTAGCCATATTTCTGTTTCTTTCTGTACGTGAACGTATGTAAATAAACTGCAATAACGTGCTAATCTATACTGTAATCTAAGAAACTACTTACCATATAATTTTCAACAGGTAATTCCAAATTTAACATAATTTTTATTTGAAAAAAATTTAATAACTGATTGTTTAATTTAGAAGTAAAAAAAAAAAAAAAATCAGCGTTATGTTTGCCAATTTGCGATGGCAAATTGCTTCGATGGTTTTACTAAACCATCATCCTCAACTTCCAAAGTGCAAATGAATGAAATAAGATTCATGTTGAAAAGACAAGAGGACTGGACAAGAGTTAAGCTGCTGGTGCCATCTGTTGATGAAACAAGAAAATAAATTTTTTCAAAAAATTCTGAAGGATGGATTGGAATTGGGTCGTTAACTAGAACAGAAAGATTTTCTTGAATATGAAACGCGTCTAGATAATCTAATTTACCAATGGACGTTTTCACCAATGGACTTGATTTTGTTGTTTGACTTAAGAAAAAAAAATGTGTGGAGAGAAAGATAATATATGTTCGGCGTGAGAGAAAGTTAATATATGCATGAAAGTTAATATATGTATGAAAGTTAATATATGTATGAAAGTTAATATATGTACTTAAATTAATATTTGTTCGGCGTGTTATTTTAACCTGAGCTGTTTGTTTCTTAAAATGTTTTCAACAGCGATAAACCAGTTCAGTTGAAATTTTAATAAAATTTCAGGTTTTATTGTTCACGTTTGAAAACATTTAATGCCACTTAATATCTGTATCGAAAGAGAAAATTAAGAATTTCATTCATTCAATTTATGTATTATTATTTTTGTATTCTTTAACGCCCATTAAAAACTCCAGAAACTCCTATTTATCCTCTTAACATCAGATTAGTATCTTTGCGATTACGAAGCAAGTCTCTGCATTCTTTCAAAACTCGAAAACAAATTGAAGATCATTAATAGACCATACAACTGCAACACGCGTTCCATGATAGAAAATCGAGTACCATAAGCAACAAAAAAAGTCCAAATAAAACGAGTCTGCCAAAGAAATTTAATTATAAAAATAAATATACTAGTCTCCGCTGCGGTTGGGAGCTTCCAAATGGCGCAGATGAGGCGTTGTCATAGCAACCATTGGAACAGAACGCTAAAACTTAATTATGGCTCATGGAACAAATCAAATAAATGAAAGCGTCGCCATTTCGCTGAAAGGAGGAAAAAAGGATCTATATCGACAAAGTTCAACTTTTATTAAAAAGGGAACTGGAACATGCAAAACTGTGGGTGGGCATTTATTGAGATTTTCTGTTCATTTGCGAACAGAAGAATTCTTGTTTAAGAAATATTTAATAAAATCTTAAATCTTATTTAGAAGCTCTGTGTGTTCTGCTCCGTAATGAGAAATATTTAGTTTTGGGTGTTAGCTTCATTTGTAGCCGTTGCCCTAGTTCTGCCAAATGCGAGCATTCATACTGACAAAAGAAAGCAGAAATAATTAGAGTCGCAGTAAATCAAATCTTTGTTCCATAATTTTCGCAAATTGAATGCATAAGCTTGTAAACACGGTCACTAATTTCTTATTTCATACGAATGGAAATAATAAGCGATAAATATTAAGAGAAATGCATGCATCTCAAGCATAGGTAATGTTATATTTCTAGAGCCAATTCGATTCGTCTGTCCATATGAAAGGCCGAATAACATAAAAATGCACTTGGTATGAATAACAGTATATGGTATTTCTCTCGCCTTCTTAGCATGCCCTGATGGCATAGTGATCAGCACGCTCGGCACGTATTCGAGAGGTCCGTGGTTCGAGTCCCGGCGAGAACACTGCTCCTTTTTCACGTCTTCTGCTCCTAAAATGACCTAATATCTCTACAGTGGCGCCCGAACTAAAAAAGGTGGTGAATGATGATTCTCCGTCACTAGGATTCGGCGAGAGCACTCTAATCCCCTGTTTCCCTTTAAAAGGGAGAGTATATAAAGTATTTCTCCCGCCTTCTTAGCTTGTCTTCGTGGTGTAGTGGTCCGAACGCTCGGCGCGTATTCGAAAGGTCGATGTTTCGAATCCTGGCGAGGGCACTGCTCCTTACTCATGTCTTCTTCTCCCAAAATAACCTAATGTCTCTACAATGTTATAGTTCTAAAGCCGACAGTCGATCGTCAGTCTATATGAAAAGTAGAATAACATAAAAATGCACTTTGTATGGATAACGAAAGTGCGGAAAAGATTAATGATTTAGTACGAATTATCGTTCCACCTAAACAGTTAGCACCCTACATTAAAAATTATTGTTTTTCATTCATAAATAATTTTAACATGTATTTTCTCGAGGGTCATGAAAAAAGAAAATTGGATTAGAAATACATTTCGTTGAAATGTATCTGAAATTTTATTTCGCGAAGGAAAAGAAAAATTGATGGAAATTTGCTGTGATCGAACCCTAATCAAAGATATAAAAAATAACACACTTGTTAACTTTTGGCTAACCCCAAAAAAGAATATTAAGGCATCTCAAATAAAGGTATTAAATTTTGTATTGTCTTTGTTCACACAAACTATTTGTGTGAACAAAGATTTTTTTCCAAGTTATACTTTAAAATTAATACAGAACAAAATAAAAAGTGGATCCTAATTTACGGTTAAAACTAAGTGAAATAAGACTAGACATATAAAGAAATTAATCTCTCTTTAAACAGGCCCAAACTTCACATTAAATTTTAGAAATAAAGTATTATAACTTAAATCTTGGTAATCAAAATGGTAACCAATTTTTAATCGAATATTTTTTATCTGTGCATATTTAATACAAATAGCCAATAGGCTGTCCAAATGGCAATATATATATATATGAAAAGGTTGAGAAGCGCTGATTTAGATTTTTTAAAAGGTCAAGATTTAAAGGCTAAAAACGTGGCTCCGCTTGTAGGGTTTATATTTATTTTAACTAAATTTTATGTTTAAGCTGTTTTTCCTGTCAAGCCTTTACTTTCCCCTAGAATTGCCAATGCCAGAGTATGTAAATTGTAGTAGAACGCGCAGAATATTCAAATTTTAGCAGAAGTAAGTTGAGTTTAAATAGAAGGGAAACTAGTTTGTATGTGTGCTTCTTGAATCGCTAACGTGAAGGTTGCTAGGTAGAAATTTAAGAACCGCGCGTTTCGGCCTGTGTGCCTATCTCGGCAGTTCGTTGAATCTTTCAATTGCTTAATCAGTAAGCTTGCTGAATTTCAGCTGTATATTAGAACGCGGTTAAGTTAGTTACGATTTCAGAGCCTCGTAGGTAGGGATCTCGTTTTATTATTCATTCAGTCATTAATTTTTAGTTTCACAGTTCTGTTTTTGTTAAACCGCCGGGTCGGCGTAGTTTTGTGAGCGTCAAGTGAACGCAGCTGTTATTTCTAAAGTGGAATAAAAATGGATTTAAACCCTTCTTACGTGTCTGTGTAAATTCACACTTAGTAGCAGTCACTACCACAGTTGCTGACAAGTTGGGGCCACAAAAGATATTACACGCTACCCTACTACCGTCCATACGGTAATTTGCGACTAGGAGGATCGAGTCGCATATAAGCATTCTTTACCGCACCACGCGCACAGGGAAACATTCATCCCCGTGATTGGATACGGCTTTCGATGACATCATTTTCTCTACGCTTAGGAATGCCTTGTCTTTGCTTGGGCTCGAAAATACACCTCCATACCGTTTATTTACATTTTGATAGCAGTACCGAAAAGATTATTATCGTTAATGACGTGCGTTGAATTTTTATTGCGGATTACTCTTATTACGGCACTGTAGTGTGATGTATTTAATATAAAAAATATAGTGCTTTTTCTTTTTCATAGAGAATAAAATAGGTATCGCTAACTCCGTCAATGTGTATTAATATTATGCGTGGAGGTTTTTAATAAATGCATTCTTAATTTAAAAGCCTTCACATTAAAGGTTTTGTGATTATTAATTTATTGATTCATGTTCATTCAATATAGATTCTTTGCAGATGCAATCTCCGAAAGCAAGAGGCAAGTCAGTTTTTACAAACAGCAAAAACGTTGGGAGCTAACGTAATACACAGTAAATTCACGATATTTGTATCAGTCTGAAAGTAAATTTTTTTTGAATTAGACTACTATAAGTTGGAACACAGAAATAGATACTATCATAATTGAATATTTCCCATACCTGTGCTTATGAATACTGCCCATTAATGTATAGTAATTTGTACCTTTGCATAAAAATAGTGTTATCAGAGAAAGTTTCTTTTCTTATACACGTGTATTCAGCGAATATACTGAATGTCCATTTTTCTTTCATTTAAAGCAAGAGAATAAAGTGTGAAAGACATGGACATTAACATTTAAATAACATATACAGTTGCAAAGGAAATATTTTTTGCAAAGTGAAATGAACAGAATGCAACAAAATTTCAATAATAATATACTTACTGGTATATATGCCTTTACATTTGAGTCGAGATCGTGGTGTAATCTAATGTGTTTTGCGTTTTTTTTTTTTTTGCACTAAATTTCTGACCTCAGTTATTTACATAATCTAAGCAGTTTAGATTGCTTCTGGTATTGACAGCATCTTTGAAGGATTTTATAATTTTATTTTTTCATAAATAGAAT